GGGGCCCAGGGTTTAGGGTTCAGGATTTAGGGTGCGTGGCGAAAGGGACATCACATCCTTTGGGTTTATGGCCCCTGCAAAATTTTCAGTGCCAACCATTGGGGCCAAGCGTTACGCACTTGATGCCCATCCAGCGTGTGATTTTGGCTCCAGAGGGAGAAACAAGTTTGCCACTTGAAATCCTAGGTTGATTGTGACCACCTCGGGGAATCTTGCAAGAGGGTTTTTGGAGATTTAAGCCCTGGACACACAACGCCAAGCCAGCAAGCCTCTGCACCTTGAACCCTATCAACCATGAGACCTACACACTAAAGCCTGTCAACCCTAAGCCGTAAACCTTAAGTCCCTAGCCCTAAATCCCAAACCCTAGTCCGAGCGAGCCCAATACCCCTTAATCAAGGAATACACTATAAATCCTATTAAAGCTCCTCGTATTATCTAAGGTATATTCCTTAATGGAAGGGTATTGGGCCCTTTGGGGTCTAAATCCCTCGTCGGGTCCCTTGGAGGAGCTCTTTCGAAGCCTCAGCCTCCAGGCTGGCGTGGGCTGGCTGCAGCTGAGGTTGCTGGAAGGGATAGATGGGGGTGCTTGGGGATATTTGTACATGGGGATATGTGGGGTGTAGGGTTTGGGGTTGGGGGTGTAGGGTTTAGGGTTCAGGGTTTAGGAACTCTGGAGGCATATGAGCTATAGTCCAAACTCCTTGAAGGGCGCTATTTTGTGGACAACTTTTGGGATTATTAATGGGGATACTAGGAGTTTAGACTGTGGCTCATATCAGGGTACATGGGGGTGTATGGGGTTTAGGGTTTGGGCTGCCAACAATGGAGAATCAAATGGCAAAACAATGAATGGAACAGGGATATTACGGTGGTTTTTAGGGATAAGGGTACATGAGGTAGGGGTTTTATAATGCTTTTGGAGAGTATAAAACTTCCTGAGGACTATTGGTGAGTGCATCCATGTGCGGTCCAGTTTGGGAAGCCCAAAATAAAAGACATGGCTCATGCAGAGGTTCGTTGGGGTATCGAGGGGTACACAGGGATATGGAGTTCAAAAAGGGCATGCAGGTACAAAGGGTTTAGGATTTTGGATTGCAGATGATTTCAGGCTTTTTAGGTTGCAGGGTGTAGGGTTAGGGGTTTAGGTTGTAGTTTGGTTTGTTTTCTATCCTCGTTCGATCGCATGGGGCTTCTCAAGCATACGGACTGCCTTTGGAAATGTCATTGCCCTACAGGACGGCAGGGCAGAATGTTCCATCGCTTGTTTCTAGAATTACATAACATGATGAAATGGTGTTTATCCATAGGGCTCCGGTTGCCAAGCCTCTCCTAATCCCTAGGCCATAGAACTCGAGCCCTTAAGCCCTGAGCCCCTTAACCTTAATCCCCAACCCCTCAATCCCTCCAACCCCTGGACCTTGTGAGGCTGTTGCTGCCGCAGCGCAGCCTGCCCTTGACCACATGCAATGCTGAGGCGGACGAGCAGGTCCGCAATTTCCAAAGTAACGATGAAGGTTGAGGGCTTTGGGGGTTACCGTGTTTGGTGGTCTCCCTTTTGTGGCTAGGGATTTATGGGTTTACCCAGGGTCCAGAGGGGAAAAGTTTGGTGAAGTCTTCCAGGCATGATGAATAGATTATGATCAACAGCGATGTCGGTATGCGAAAGTGATCCTTTTGGTCTTCACAGAATAGGATCACGCCAAGTTAAAAGTACCCTGCCCGAACGACTGTTGTGGAACCTGACCAGGGCTCTTCTAAAAGGGCAGTATCCTTAATTGTGCCCGATTCCAGGTTCCATGCTAATTTCGGTAGTGTATCTGTCAGAAGCGCCAGAAGCCGTCCCTAAACTTTATGTGGAATGGCCGTTCAAAAGCAACAATACTGCAGCCCCGGCCTGCTCTACCCTAAGCTCTACTGTACCCGGTCGACCAAAGCCAAAAGCCCCAGGAGAATGTTCATGTTGCTAATTGTTCAGGTGCGCCAGTGCTTGCGTGATGCCCTTGCGCTGGCAGCAACGGCTACCGCAGGGCGTTGAGGCCGAAAGTTTTTGGCACGATGGGAGTGATTAACAGGAACTTGGATTCTAGCATGGTTGAGTGAAGGACAGCATGCAGGTGTCATCAGGTTGCTTTGTAGTAAGCATGCTTGAATTGAATAGCACTGTCACCATTAGCAAAGCCGCTCATTTGTCCGTGTCGTTGTCCTTTAAATTCAAGTTCCATATATTGCAGATATCCGTGGGGTGTTCGTTCAACAGCTTCTTGTGAGTAAACATGGTTCATCGGAGGTGAGGAAGAAAGGGCCTTTTGGGATGGACGGCTTGGGGAGCTCAACTGTTCCAGGCGTTGGTAGCATTACGACCTGGTGCCTGGTGAGGAGTGAGGGCATGGATCCTGTACCTGGGTAGGCCCCTGGGATATTTAATATTTTCCCTAATGGCTTTAATAAGGGACCCTATATACTAATATTTTTCAAAAGGTTTTAGGGGACAACCCAGGTACTTGTCCGTATTTTGCTTCCAATGATGCCCAAAGCCTTTGCTTCTCTTCCCTATCGAGATCCGGGGAGATGAAGCCCCCCAGCAATTGCCACTGTGCCAATGTACCTCTCAAAGGGCAACCGCAAGAAGGGTTTTAAAAACTCGGACGAGTAGTAGGATTCGACAGCTTTTTCGTGGCTTTTGTAAAGTTCTCATCCTTCTATGAGTTTCATGGATATCTTGTATGAAGTCTAGCCGAGCTATACGATCCGCTGCAGGTTTCCTCCAGAATTTTGAAGTCTTGCGCAGATGGTGCCGGTTGGGAGTTGGTTTTTGGGATGCTTGCAATAATCTCTGCAATACTGTAGAAGGACCGTCAGCAAGATCGCAAGCACTACGGAGTGTCCTCAAGCGCTGATTGCTGTGTGACAGTGGGAGTCGTCATATTTGGCCTCTGTTACCATGCAGGTCCCCATGCAGATGGCGGCCGGCAAAAATGGCTTCCTGAGCCCTGAGTCAGGGCTGTGGGATCATCATTTTCTGACGAGGAAGTGGGGAAGTGGATCCTGGTAACTTACAACCGTCTTAAACCTTAAACGCTTAAACCCTAAACCCCTAACCCTAAGCCCTTTGCACTTTCCAAACGTTATCCATATCCACTCCCTCCCGCCCCCTTTGGGCACCAGTCAGACCGGTGGAGTTTCCAGAAGCTGGGGGCCCACAATGGGTTTAGAGGATGTGGGGCTTAGGACCAAGGCCAGGCTTTGAGTATACCTCAAGTGTGAACTATTGAGCTCTCTGAGCTCTTGTGGGTTCCATCATGATGACCAAGAAGAGGAAGCTTTTGGAAGCTCACCAGTGCATAGGCAGCTGCAGACATTAGAGCCTGGAAAGCAGCAGCAAAGACTCCATGCGCGGCGGCTCATTTGTTGAGGCTGTTTAGGGGTGTAGGATTTGAGTAGCTAGGAAGTGCACGCGCGGCATCAGTTCACATACAAGCTATAGTTGTGACAAATGTGCAGCAAGGGTGTTGCGCGGAAGAATGAAGACTTTACAGGAGAAATGGGCTGTCGAAACTATTCGGTTGCCCCACAAGGGACGGACCAGTCAGGCTCCACAAGCATTGCCAAGTACCAGTATGTATGCTGTGGAATTGGCAAATGGTCATGGATTTTCAGTAAGGAGGGAAATAGAAAGTGTTTTCAATCCAGGAGGGCATGTACTAAGAGGCTGTGCTGTCACAACACCAAGGCTCTAAACTGCAAAGCCGAAGCCTAAACCCTAAACCGCAAATCCTAAACCCTCAACCCGTAACCCTGAACCCTAAACCCTCTAAACCACAAACCGTTTGCCCACTTTTGCCAGCATCCTTTAGTGTCAGGCCTCTAGGGTCCTCAACGCAAAGCCCACAACCTGGAACTCTAGGCACTAAGTTTTCTTATAAGTCAATCAACTATAGTATACTGCATAATATGCAGATAATATTACAATATTCGGTAGAGAATACAAATTTGCAGTCTAGCGCAACAGAGTATACAGTCGTATACTAGGTGGCATGCTACTTGCGACTGCCAATGAAGTTCAGCTTTTCACCTTCATCGTTGGGGTTGTCCGTATGGCATGGCCTTAAGGACGGGCTTAAGCAAATTGCCATTGCGAGCGTGTTGGCTAAGATCGCACCCCCAAACCCTAAACCCTATACCTTAAACCCCTCAACTTCAAACCTTTGGCATCCTAGGCATCCCCCACTGGGCACAAATCGTGTGGTGCTTGGGCCTCAATGCCAGGGGTCTGGGGATCAATGCAAGCATACAAAAAGAACAAGAGGATAAGATTGTTGAGCAACTTCAGAGTTAGCCTCCTCCCAAATTCATCCTAAGTAATAGGATTTATCGGACTTATCCCAAATGGGACCCCCAACACCAAGCCTGAATGAGTAGTAATTGTAAGAAGTTTCCAGACGGGAGGCGGGCTGGCTCTTGGAAGGACGAGAGCTACCCTCCACCAAACTAAGCTGTGGAGCTTGAACAGGGATGCTATAAAGACTTCGCTCTATCCATCAAAGGCCAACATGGCGTTGTGTGCCACGTTGATGAGGATATTGCGGCTTCTGTGATGTACAGCTGAATTTTCACATTGATTCTGCGCGTGTGCCCCAAGCTCATGAGGTGTGCATTGCAATAAACTTCAGAGCGGACCTTGAAAAAACTACCACAATCATGGGAATGAGCATTCTTGTGTATACATGTTCTGCAGAAGCCCCAGGTGTAAATCGTGATTTCTTCAAACTGCATGCTCTGGGGCTCGAGTACGATGCCATCATCTTCTATGACACGGACGTGTGCCTTTGCGGCATCATAAGAACTAGATCCGCCATAGTTGATGGCTTGTTGTGGCTCATCAGTCTCTTGGTCATGAAAGCTGGCCCAGAAACTTTGGCCTCAACTTGGGAGTCCATGGTTCGATCAGTGCTGCAGGAAATCCTGTGAGATCTTTGGGTATGGTAGTGGCTTGCTGCGATGCATGGGAATGGTGCGATGGAGCTCTTTACGAAAAATCCACCTCGAACTTCCAACCTAGAATTCCAAGCGCCTAGTTGTCGAGGTTTGTAAACCCTCCAGATTTTTCGCACCTGGAGGCTGTTTCTTGGCCGCGACGTGTTTTTTGGGTAGTCATTTCTCGTCACCGATCTCATTGCTTTGAATTAGGAAATCATTTGCTTCGAGTGTAGGGTGGTCATGCGCTGTGGCCAGGGGTCATGCATGATGTAATGAGTATTAATGGCATTTGCACAAGGGTCAAAAGTTAGTTTAGAGGCATTGCTTGGGGGTTCCTCGCGTCTTCAAAGGAATCTTAGAGGATCCAGGATTCATGATTTCTACTGCGTGGCTAAGTAATTTGCATAAAGAGCTGCCTCCGAAAGGTCCCCTGACCCTGAGGCCTCTAAAGGATGGGAGAGCAGAGTCTTTACAGCAGCCTGAGCCAAAGTAGCCTACTTGAAGCATAATGCAAAAACTCCTTAAAGTGACTACTATAGGGGTTATTAAGGGGACAATAGGAGTTTAGACTATAGCTCATTTGTGCAAGGTTTTTTTTTTTTTTTTTCTGTTTTTCGGGGCTCCGCATTGTGCTCTCATGACTTTCGCGGGGCATTTCTAGGGACTCTGACCCGTAGCTCTTGATGAAAGAGATGCACGCGGTTAGAGTTTAGGGTTTAGGCTTTGGAGCACGGAAACCTTGCACAATCTCCTATAGTCATGCCTCAGGACCTACGGAGTTAGAGCATTTTTGACAAGTGCTGCACAATTTTCTCCAGGTCAGGGTTTCCATCATGAGGAAGCTGGTTCATCTGCCACAGCAATGAACCAGGCTAATACAGAAGCTTACATGTGCCAATATTGTCTTCCTAGATTCCTTGTATTAGTCTGGTAAAAGGTACCAGGTATCCCAAGCAGACCTCAAATGATGTAGTTATCCATTTGTATAATATTCCATAGTCATAGTCGCCGACAATCGCCGCTATCGATAGCACGAGTGTTTCGCAACACACCTACCTAGCCCCTAACCTGCAACCTATGTCATCCCAGTCTCCATTTTATTTTGCATATTGTTTTCCACTTTTTCTCCGACGTTGGGGTAGCACTGTATCCCTGAACCCTGAACCCCACGTATATGCCTTCGTATAAGCCCCTACTGGTAGCAAAAAGCTCGCAGATCTTGCTTCTGTATGTGGTGGCTTAAACTTATAGATGTGTTTACCCATGTATACGAGAGCTAGGGTCTCAACAAAACAACCCCGAACGTAGGGTACTCCAAAAACGGGCCATATTTTGTCCACCTCCCGACATAACGCAGCAGGCTCTCTAGACATGCTTTATAATCTGTATCCCCAGGGTCCATCTGATTGCGAGCAAAGGTGTTCAACTGCGCCTACCAGGCCAGACGCTGCAGGGAATTTAGCTTGGGCAACGCCCTCACGTTGTAACAGTGCCCGAGATACGGAAAGTGTAGTGACATCTTATTCATAAACCAGATGGGTGGTTGTCAAAATTATGGTCCCTTTTTGGGTCCCGATTATAATACGGCCCCTAATATTTAGGGTACCCAAAAAGGGACCATAATTTTGACAACTACCCAGATCTTCTATATGATTATTATTGGGTGGGTGCAGTATCCAAGGATTGGCAGCTGAGGGCTTGCTTTGATGCTTAGGGCCCTTCTGCTGCGTGGTGTGGTGGTGGGTTTTGTAGGTTAGTTTTTTTTTTCATGTTTGGTGCAGATCCTAGTTTGAATTTTGCGACGGAGGTTGTTTCATTTACAGCGTTCATTTCATCAGCGTCCACAGCACAGGCAATGAAGTCCCAAACAGTGTTTGCCTGGAACGCCAACTTCTAATTCTAAAAGCTCCGGGCATAGACGGGGGGCCAATCCTCTGAAGCGTTTTGCAAGGCTTTCGAAGCTATGCTTCTGAAAAGAGGTTTGAAAGCATTAGAACCCACGCAGGTCCTAAATTTATGCAACAAAACAATTGCTAGGTTCTGTCAGAAAATGTTAAGCTTGAAGAGTTCAGAGGTTAGTCATTTTTTTTTCAAGATTGGGTCCTCCTTTGGTGGGGTTGTTGAAGGTTGGTGAACAGAACCACCCCTCACCCAAAGCTCAGCCCCTAAGCAACTCCCAAGCCCCAGATTTCCCAGCCTAGCCACTAATCATGGGCCATATACGTGCGAGGTGAGTGGCTGTTTACTGGAGTTATGAGTAGGATAAGAACGGTGATTGCTTAAATTCAGACCAACTTATGACACGTGTAACTCCCATTGTAATGACACATGATCGGCCTAGCTACTGGGACGTGCATGGGTGATGATACGTGGGGCTATATGTCTTATAAACTTGTTTAATTTGAGCGATATCCGGTAACCGTTCTGGTCCTACTCATAACTCCATTAAGCACCCATGCACCTCTTTTCCAACAAAGCAAAGTCCGGAACCCACAGCCGCGCGGCCTGAGGCCACATTTTTTTGCGGTTTTTGGTTTCAGGTTTAGAGAGGTTCACGAATTCAGCTTCTTCACGTTGAGAAGTCCCAAGCCGCAAGCTGCACACCAGAAGACAGTAACCGCTTAACCCTACAACCTATGCCTTGACTGTTAATCCCTAACCCTAAGCGCAAATCCTGAAACTTTAATCCCTCATCCCTAAACTCTAAACCCTAAGTCTCAAACCCTGAAATCTCGTGGATCACCGGAGGGCTACTTCTTGGCTTCGGCGCTGCACGGCGGATTCGAGCCGCCAGATCAGATGATTCGCCTGCTTGAAAAGACTCTAAGATACCTCTGAGAGGGCCATAGGGATGTGTAGGGCTAAGGATTTGGGCTTGGGGGCTTAGGGTTTAGGGATTAGGGTGCATGCATTAGGGTTTTGGGGATTCTGGTTGAGCTTTTTCATGTCTAGGGCTTACTATGATTCAGGATTCAGGCCTCACTTCTAAGGGTTCCAGGGTTCAAGGTGTCCGCTACCCTCCCTCAAAAAGAAAACGTCCTAGGATTCAGGGCTTTTGTGTCATGGGTCTGAGGTTTCAGGTTTTAGGGTGGATTAAGTTGCTGGTGGTTCAGGATTAGTTGGGTTTAGGGTTTAGGGTTTAAGGATTCAGGATTCCTACGTCGAGCTCCCAAATTTTCTGGTGCATACCATCGAGCTGGGGCTGGCAGGAAACGAGGAAAAGTATTGCGCCCTGTAGAGGAGTACATCTTGTAACGTACTGAGACCCTAAATTGTATCGAATGTCCTCTAGCTATTAGGAAGCAGCTTAGGCCCATAGAGGGATCCTTGCAAATGATTAGAAAGGGACAGCGGAGAGGTCCTTTGAAGGATCTAGGGTTAAGGATTTGAATGATACCTACTTTGGACCCTAAGATCTGTTAAGATTATCCGTTTTGCTAGTTTTTGTTCATGCGTCTGGGCTTGCAACCCAAGACCCCCAAACTCTAGACTGTGCAAGCTTGCTTGAGAGTTTGGATCCTTGACGTCATTTCTAAAGGGTCAAGTGCCATGCGCTCAAGGTGGCGCTCAGGTGGGATTGGAGTGTGCCAGCCCTCAACCCTAGCAGGCCATGGCTTGGGTGGTAGCCTGCGACTTTTTAGCACGGTTGGGTGTGTTGAGAATGGCCAGTTTCCTTAACACAGTCATGCGGGCGCAGGATATGCTGCCACCCACAGGGCCCTGAAAGTGGGGTGGCCGCATCTGTGCATGAACAATCAGAAGTTCGCGAGTCGATTCCCCTAAATCTAAACCCAAAAACCAAAATCTACGGGTCCATACTCCAAACCACAATTTTTCAACACATTCTGTCCGAGGCCGCTGACTGTGGCATTCTTCGCCCTACGACCATCTCCGGCGCTGCTCAGCGCGGTGCGGCGCTTCCTGCTGGCCAGCCGAGCGTTAGGCTTTAAAGTGGTTCAGGCTTACCGCGAAAGCCCAATTGGTAACCCAGAATATTCCCTCACAAACCGCATGCCCCAAACCCCAACTCTCACTAAGGGCCTACAGTTCAGTCTTAGGGTCGAGCGGCATAGGAGGTCCAGAGGTTGGAGATCGGGGCATAGGGCACAATCGCAACGGTAGCGGTAGTTACAATGATGGTTCTTCCGTCCCGCAATGGATTACCAACAAATGTAGAACCCAACAGTCCCTAGCAGTCTGCATTCATGACATTCGCCTTGCTTGGGGAAGGGCACGAGCGGTTTGGTGGGGGAGCATGCGAACAGCAATCAGCACTTATCCAAATTGCACTATCCAACAGGTTTCGAGAGGCTGTCAGGGGAGGCAATCGGTTAGGACGCTACGTTTACATTTTTTCGGAAGGTTTCAGCAACATCAACCATACGTTTTTGTGCAACTATAGTTAAGGTGGGATGTTATACCTGCCTGCAACAGCTGGCTGAGCTATCATAGTAGCATTCGGCCGCCCCTGACCATACCGGTGTAGAATACTGGTGTATGGCGTTACGCCCACTGGGCCCGTTGTTCTCACGAGAAGCCAATGCTCAAAGTCTGAGCGGCTTTGCCTTGTTTTCCGGCCTTTGCTGGGCTTCAGATGGTAAGACCGGATACGTAAAGGAAATAAGAGACCCCTGAAAGTTATGATCTGCATCTTTGTAAGTGCGTTTCATCCAAGACGCTTCCCATGAGTCCATGGAGATATTTGCGGCTCCAAGTGGAGGGTTGAAGGCCCACATATGGGAGTCTATCACAAGAACCCCACATAGTTGGTCCTAAGGTAAAAGGTATCAGGTATGGTTTATGTAGGAAGGCCAATAGGAGCAAGTTTAGACTATGTGGTTTATGGAATGGCTGAACTTGAAAGCCTGCGCTCGAACACCTGGAGACCCATGATGCGCATCCTCCATTCCTTTAACGGTGAACCTGAAACCACCCTGAGCCCCCAACCCCTCTATGCCAATCTTTAAAATCCTAGGCCCTGAGCCCCCAGGCCCCAAACTGTCAATCTTGAACCCCAAGGATCCAAACTCCAAACTCCATTGCTCACGGAAACCCTCACCCCTGAATCCCAAATCCCCCCAAAGCCTGCCAGAACTCGACCTTCGATGACGACGGCGCCTGGAATTGGGTCGGCTTCGGGCCATGGGGATGCCTTGACAGTGCCCTCGGTGGTTTGGGGTTGCATTTAGGGTTTAGGCTTCATTATATTCAGTTCTGGATGATGGGTTCGGGTGTTTTTTGTTGGAAATGCCAGACATCGTCAGTGTAAACAGAATAGATTTTCAGTCAGGCGAGTAGTCATTTTACCACCTTTGTTCCGACATTTCGGGAGTGCTTATGATTACATCGAAAAAAGGATCTGTACAGAAACCCAGGAATCCAGGAATCCAAGGGTTTTCCAAGAGCAGAATCATTCAGTCGAGAAGCATGGGTCCAGCACAAAAAACAAAAAAGTATTGCTTTCATACGAATATGTCGGTGCCATGTCGTGGTAACGAAAACATGTCTTGTGGTTACGTTGCAAGCTTTCGTCCCGTGGCTACCACTTGCCCTCGGATGTGGTATGGTTTCGCGACACCCTGTGTGACGGTGTTATGGGGCGGAGTGAATGTTTCGGGCGACGCTTGGTGCGACAGGGCAGGGTGATTTTTTCGCGGCGCCCGGTATGACAGGGCAGGATGATTGTTTTCCGGCTCCCCGTGTGACAGGGCATGTGTGCTGTAGAGCTTCAGGGTGCCCAGTTTGGGGCAAGGTTTCGCGACGCCCGGTGCTACGGGGCAGCGTGAGTGTTTCGGGCCACGCCTTGTATGACAGGGCAGGATGATTTGATGATACCCGGCATGATATGGCAGGGTGACTGTTTTGCGGTGCCCGGTGTTACAAAGCAGCGGAATGGTTTTGGTCATGGTTTCGCGATGCCCACTGTTACCGGGCAGGGTGAATGTTTCAGGTGACCCCAGGTGTGACAGGGCAGGATGACTGTTTGGTGACACCCGGTGTGACTGTTTCGCGGTGCCTTGTGTGACTAGGCAGTAATATGGTTTCGCGACGCCCTGTGTGATGGTGTTACGGGGTAGGGTGACTGTTTCGGGCGACGCCAGGTGTGACAGGGTTGTTTGCCGAAAATCTGGTGTGGCAGGCAGGATTGTGTTGCTGTGCCCGGTGTTAACTTTCGTGACCTGACGGTTTTCGTGCGTAGACGCAAATAAGGACATGACACGTGTTGCGAAGGGTGGCCGCTTGTCAGGAAGTGTTGCGGGAAGGCTTGGGTGAAAAAGGCATCAAAATTTGGTTTTCATTGACGTAGGGGTAGTACCCGGGGATAGTGATCGGACAGTGGCCCATGACTCCTTTGACTCAACCAAGCCATGCACCCAGCTGCTCAGCCGCAGTCTGGAGACCAAAGCTTTGGACGACCTTGAAACTCGTCATTGAATGTAATATTTTGTATTCACCTTGTGGATCTAAGTTCAAGTCCAGTGACTGTTTGACTGTTTCGTGAGTTACTATACTACATTATCGTGCCATGGTTCCACCTGTGCGACTGTGGCTACTGTAAGCGTCCATCATGTTGCAACTGGGAGGAGGCGTTGGGCCTGCAAATGTTGCAGCTGACGACGCCTGCAATTCATTTGAGACACTGCACCAGGCTGCCTTTAAGATGTGCCCTGATGAGGAGACCAGGAACGCTGTCCTGGGTTTTTTGCGCCAAGTTGCAGGCTGTCTGGATGGGGCTGCTCGTCCGAAGAATCGAGCACAGAAGACAGGGCAGCAGTACAGGCTCGGCTCAGCTGTCTGATTGAAGCTGATTGAAGCTTTGCTAGCTTCTCGTTTGGTGAAGAACGCGAAAGACCTGCCTAAGATTTTTGTTCGATCGGTGCAGTACGTTTTTGGATCCGATATAGCGCAGCATCTGCAGAAGCAGCTGGTGGACACGAATATACGTGTACCGTCAGAGTCAACTCTCAGCAGGGCTCGCCTGAGACGTGACGGTCTCTCCATGATGACGAGGCGGGATAGCTTCCAAGTCACGACCTCTGAGGCCAGTTTTTTTTGTGACACTCTCCACTGACAGTTCGCCACAGGGGGGACTTGACTATTTCATGATTCTTGAAGATAAAATCTCCCGCGCAGCGGCCGGCGAGCTGATTTTGGCCGGAGACGGCGATGAAGTCTTGCGATGGGCTTCTGTGGAAGGTGGCGGCGTGACTACCACGCAACTTCCTTTGGCCTTGGTTGGACCAGGTAGCTGTGTTGCCGGCAAAATACGAGGGCCTATTCCATCAGGCTGTGCCATGTACATGATTCCAATTTCCCTGGTATGGAGTTCATTTATTGTATGCGCAACCTGATACATGTAACACACTGGAGTCCTGGAATTTTGGCTTGGGATTATGGGAATTTGATGAGCTCTGGTGTTAGTCTTGGTCGAGACTTTGGTCGATCCAGAGCTCGGCCCACGCCGAAACTTGGGGTCTGGGGTCTGGGTTGTAAACGCTGCTCAACATCCCTACGCAGCAGTAGTTCCTGGGACGTAGCAAATGTGTGGAACATCTCAGTTCCTTTTGGAGGGCCCGTTCAAAGTTGCGTTCGTTTGAGTCTTTTCCAACCATCACCTAATCTGCTAGGGCCTGGTCAGAAGCTCCCTGGATACAAGCCAGCGTTAGAAGCATCTTCAACAAGACCTACGAGGGTTAGCAGGCTAGAAGACTTACAAACTCAACAAATTTGATTTGCGTGTGCGCCGTTTCGGCACTGAGGCGTCACCTTCTTTCCTGACGTGGAGTGAATACGTTTTTCCTCCTTTCAGCCTATGTATACACATAGAGGCAACGCGTCATATTTCCCACATATTCCACCTTCTGCCTTCAACTGAGGTTTTATGCCTTGCGCCTTACCAACTTGACCCAAAGCTTATTTTGTATCGGGACATGTTAGCAGGTTCTGGAACCGGGATTCCGGCGCTGATTCCGGAACGGGTTCCGGAGCAGGCTCTGGATTCCAGAAGTGTTCGGGCGAAGTTGAAGAAGAACGGGTTCCGGAGCGGATTCCCCAGCGCTTCTCGAAGGTTCGCAGGGGATTTTCCAACGAGAAACAAAGGCGCATGCTGTAGATTCCATGTGCGCTGCTTGGTCTAGGTTTTAAAGAAATGAAGTAGCGCTAATAGTACTCGGAGCACGCTAACGTGATGCTTGTCCACCTCCTGGAAAAGGACAGGAGAAAGAGTGATTGCAGGCAAGAATTGAATTGGTGTATTTGAAACTCGCGAGTCATGCTCCTGAAAGCCCAAACATGGGCTCACCCTGTAAAGTCTGCAGCTCCTAGCCTGGTGCGTCTACATAGCGCATTTTCCTAAATTAAATCCCAGCTCATGTCAGTCTTCCCGTCGCTTGCTGCTTTCAGGCCGGCGAGAAGGATGCCAAGCGCGCCAAACATGAAGTTGACTTGCCAGAAGCTGTGCGAGCAACACAAATCCGTGAAGAAGAGGAATGCTTCGAAAAGACTGGTGTGCCTGGTTTCGCAAGCGAAGAAGATCACGAAAAAGGAGAACGAGGTGGAAAACGGAACATGTCGGGGTTTCTCTTACACTTACGTGTGATTTGGCTCTTGTACCATCTACACGTACGGCAGAGAAGGTTTGCCAAGCCCAGCGCAGCGGGGTTCGTCACAAGCCAGCGCTTTTAGGTACCCCAAAGCTCCAGCTGGGCGCTGGAAGTCAATCGGTTGCGCGCCTCTGGTCACAGACATGACAGTGAGCGCCCAAAGTGGCTTTGGCGCTACCTGGCAGATTCTTACTCCTGCCTTTTAGCTACTTCGCCGCATCAGCGCTGTTCTCGAGCTCACTGCTGCGAAGCCAAGACATTGCCTGTGTTGGTAAAGGGTGTGGGTGGCCCCGTGCCAGCGTTTGGCATGTGATGCTATCGGGCACAAGGCCCGCCGCCGCTGCGGTCAACAATATGAGGCTTCCAGCGATGCATTTTTCCTTATGCAGCTGGGAAAGTGCAACGCATTTGCTAGTGGTATTAGGCTCGCGGCTATGACCGGCCCTGCTGCGTTGAAAAGACCAACTTGCTGCGTTTGCGCAAGTGAAGTTGTAGACTGTACGCAGCAGTTGGCCTCTGAAGGTTCGATTCCTCAGCCCAGGTTTCTTGAGGAGTGAATTCTTGAGCTATTGCAAGCGCGGCGTCTTCAAGGCTGTGAAGTGGTTGTTGTGAGCAGTCCTTGGTATATGGGTGCGGCTTCTGGTGCTGGGTGGTGTAACAACAATGTGAGCGAAATTTTACAACAAGCCTCAGTCAGTAGGCGCATGTCGGGGCAGATAGCTTGTTTGGGTTTGGGGGGCAGCAAGTCTTCAAGTTTTTCCTGATAGTGCAGGGCTCCTCTAGGCTGGGTCATATTGTTGAGTCAGCGCTTTCGCGCGCTTGTCAGCTTTCTGGACAAGCGTCGCCCAGATTCAGGCCAGGGGCTTGCAAGGCCAACTCACAGCGCAATTGTAATTTGTCTTCAGTGATTGATGTCAGGGAGGAATTTCTGGGTGAACCGAATACTTGAATCAGCAGTGTCGCTTGTCTGCCTCCATCCTTGGTGTCGTTTGTCACACGCAGGATGATTTGCTTCCGCAGCACTGCAGTTGCTCAAATTTCATCAATCCTGCGGATTGCTATTACCTCCCTTGCGTTCCGCTCCAGCCTCAGAAACATTTCATGGTGCGCTTGCAGGCTATTTGTGGTCCCAAATGACCAGTTCATGATCAGCGTGTGCCGTGTTGTGCATTGCGTCGTGCTTATACAGCCTTTGCCGTTAGGCTGCAATGTCATCTGTATACATGGTCGCTGCCACAGTTTTGAGAACAAGTTTGTGACAGACTGCGTTCCGTGCTATGCGTCCTGCAGGCCATGCAGACTGAGTTCGATGCCCGCTTGGAACTTGCTGCGGAAATTTTTGAAGCAGCCAAGGATCCAGGCCGGTAGGATGCAATCAGAAGGGCATGTGCGCGACTTCATGGCGTTAGGTTGCCCGTGGTATGCTGACGGCGTCCACATCAACTCTGAGGGTATGACGCTGCTCTGCAACCACCTGCGTGGTCTGGCAGAGGTCTGCCTTTAGTTGTCGCCTGCTGTTCATTGTGATGTCAGTGCTTGTTTTCACCCTAATGCCA